GGTACCTTCCTTTCATATCGAGGATCCAATGGCTTTATATGACTGAGAAATCCGCCAAAACAAATGACATGGCACAAATACTGGGACGCCGATAAAATCCTCGAGAAGTTGGTGCATCCATCCGATGGTGAAGCATCGACAAGGTTTGATATGATTCATCGTGAGAAAGCACTAGAGGCTCGTAATGTACGTGTTATACCGGCAATGTATGTGTTTAATCCTTATGGAATGGCGATTGCCTCATACACTTATTGGCCCATATTCGTTATCCTCTCAATCTCGCTTCAAGCGTCCTCTTTCAATGATGTAACATATTCTTGTCGTTGATAATTCCTGAACACCGGGAATAATATGAGTGTGTACATGGAGCCTCCGATTGATGATTTGATCCATGCTTGGGAGGAAGGGTATGGACATACGATCGAGCTACAAAGACAAACTTCAAAATGTATGTTTTGTACCAGTACTCCCTGCATGACTTTCCGGCGTATGGGATATTCTGCTGCTGGTGTGTTCACGGGAAGTTCTCTTGTCCGGTATGCAAGGCGTCTCTGATGTTCATTTGGTTGACGAAGGGTGGTAAGTATTCTTCGTTCGACAAACATCGACAATCCCTCCCTCTTGACCATCCATTCAGCACGAGACATCAAGAACTTTCTGAAAAAATGTAGTAGTTGAAGGCCCCGCACCTTGAGATGATGATTGGGGCCATGGTTCGTGCTCGATTAGACGCTCTTGAGGTTAATGACCAAGGAGATTGTTTTCTAGGATATGGTGAGGAACATGCATGGACTCATAAGTCGTGCTTGTGGAACCTCCCCTATTTTGATGACCTTCTACTTCCACATAACATTGATGTAATGCACACTGAAAAGAATATCGCCGAGGCAATTTTTGGTACAATCATGGACATTCCTGATAAGACAAAGGACAATGTTAAGGCTAGAGTGGATCAGGCGAGGTTATGCAATAGACCAAAGCTAGAGATGGCACCTCCCGGAGGCGGGAAGTCATGGAGAAAGCCTAAGGCCGATTTCGTCCTGACGAGGGCCCAAAGGAGAAAAGTACGATCCGAGTGCCCATGACCTTGATGGAGAAGTGGTCATGAGGGCGAGAGGAGGCAAGAAGCATGGCCAGTTCTGGATTGGCGACGGCACCATCGACACGGCCAGTACTCTCACTCTCTCCTAGATTCGAGCACGGAGCACGGGTTCTAGTCCGGCGATACGCCCACGACCAGACTCACACGGTTCCAAATGAACGCACTCCAAGTTATTTCTGTTTTATTCATCGTTCATTGGTTTTTACATACTTTTGCATTGCATTGTAACATTGTGATGAAATATTGTAGGCTCAGCTAGAACAAGAAACGAGGCACCGGGAGGAGCTAGAGGCGAAGATGGAGGCAGAGCGGCAGAGGATGGCGGCAGAGCGGCAGAGGATGGAGCTGCAGATGTTTGAATATATGAGGGGTGTTTACGCTGCAATCGGTCAACCTCCGCCATCAATGCCAGTCCCTCCTCCTCAACCTGCTCCAAACATTGTTTTAGGCACTGTGAGTCGCTTTACAACCTTATAATCACCGTTTTTAGTTTATACAGAATCATTCTTACAAAGATGCCCAAACATTAGGAACTTAGTGACTAATGTTATATGCTTGTTACCAACTAGTATTTAAGCTATCATACTAGAGCACAATGCAATTAAGAAGATATTGCTGATAGTTAAAGGGTTATACTAGTTAGGCAGTAGAGAGACCATACGTGTTGTTCAATCTTGACTCACACATGCAATCTCTTCTCCTTTGTGCATCATCAATCGACGACATCGAATGAGTCTCATGATCCAGCGTGGTCGCAATGAAACTCATGGTCTAAGTGATTTTATTTGCATTTGTATTTGTGGATTACCTGTGACTATTTGTGGTTGTGAATGAACCTACTTGTGATTCTGAAGTTTATTTATATTTATTTGCTGTCGATATATCTATATGAACTGCCTGTGATGCTTATTGCGAACTATGTGTGATGCCTGTAATGTTTATTAGAGTGACGTACGTTATAAGTGACCGAACTATAAAAACAGGAAATATATGGTCACTTTGCCGAGTGTTACACTCGGCAAAGAGGCCTTTTGCCGAGTGTCAGGGTTAAAACACTCGACAAAGTGGACACGTGGTAAAATTCTATGTATTCTGGGACTAGAATGACTTCTTTGCCTAGTGTCTGCGCTATGACACTCGGCAAAGAAGCCAAAATTATGTGCATTTTGGAACGTGTTTGCCGAGTGCCTAGTATTCGCAAAGGACGAAGGTTTGCCGAGTGTCTGGAATTTGACACACGGCAAAGAAAGAATTTTTGCCGAGTGCCTGAACATTGACACACGGCAAAGGAGGAATCTTTGCCGAGTGTTTAGAATTTGACACACGACAAAGGAAGAATTTTTGCCGAGTGCGTGAACTTTGACACACGGCAAAGAAGGAAGGTTTGCCGAATGCCTGATATTTGACACTCGGCAAACTCGTCGTGACCGTCTCCACTCCGTCACGTTACTTTTTTTCGTCGAGCGTCGGTTTCAGCTCTCGGCAAATTCTTTGCCGAGTGCCTGATAGAAAATACTCGACAAAGAGCCGTTTGCCGTCACTGTAAATGCCATGTGCTGTTTGCGGAGTGTTACACTCGGCAAATTTTTTTGTCAAATATTTTTTAGACTTTGTCGAGTGTCTATGGCACGCGACAGAGCTACCGTTTCCGGTAGTGATACCACCGTATGATTAGATCGGATGGGAGGAGATGCGTGCGCGACTGCAGAGTGACAGCACGCACGTAGCTAGCGCGAAGCCGCGAAGGGTGTGCAAAATATGCAAACGCGCGGGTGCCGACTCCCGACCGAGATGCCGCCATGTGGCGCGTGCAAGTGCCGACGAACTGGTGGGTACCGGTCCGTAGGTGTTGTAGAGCCGTGACGACCGCGCCGCTGGCTGAGCTGTGCGCATGTGCTGTGCTTGGCGCGCCTGCCGGCAGGAGTAGGACACGCGTTCGCCGGGGCCGAACAAGATTCCCAATTCGTTGCACGTCCTCGCGGCGCTGATCGTACGTGCGTGCGTGGGTGGCCCAAGGCTCGTCACCCACCCGTGCGCGCGTCTTTAGTCAAACCATGAGTCGCTGCGGGTGCTAGCTAGGTGTCTGCGCCTCCAGCTGTGCGTGGAATCTGGGACGGAAGCATGCATGCACCAGCTGCACAACCACGCAGCAACAACTCGATGCTGCCGGCTGCAAGTATGGCACGCACAACAACAGTACTTGTCCGGCCTGGTATACATATATATGTAATCCGTCGTCGAGTCTTCTCTCACACCACAGTACCACACGTACGTTTGTCATCTCCCCTCTCAAAAACATACATACAAAACGGGCACGGCACATATATAATTCATGCCAACGGTTTTGCTGCCTGACATGATGGTGCTAGGAAATGATAATTCAGAATTACAAACATTGCATGGCACAGTGATAATTCAGATGTATGCACGCACGCCTCAGCTCAGCATTTCCGTTACGATGTCATTAAGCATCTTGGATACTAGATTAAGTTAATTCCTTAGCCTAGCTAATTAACACACAAGGTAACGCTAAACGACTAAAGGCCTGTCCGGATCATCTTCTGTAAACTTTAGAGCTAAACCTCCAAACAGGTGATCTAAAATTAGCTCTAAACTTTAGCTCATCTCATATTAGAGTTTTATACATCAAAAGTGAGATAAAAGTGATTTAAAGTTTAGAGACCTCTAAAGTTCATAGGCAGGAATCCAAATAGACCCTAAATCTTGACAGCCTGAAAATGGATCAAAGCCTCATCCTGCTGGTTAGGGCATCATAACCCTCGTTCCCGCCGGTTTCCTTACCGGTGGTTGTAACTACGCGACACAGACACAGAAGTGGTAATGTACGTTGTCTATGTACCGCTAGCCGTGTAACAGCTAGCCGCTACAATAAAACACCTCATCTCATCTGTACGGCTGTACCGACTCTTAATTCTTATCATGACGTTTGTCTGGCCAGTGCCATGGATGAATAGTAGTATGGTAGATGGCGTGGCAATGATAAGAGAATCGACAACAAAGCAGGAAAAACATTCTATACTAGTGTGAGGTGTCATAGTGTGAGTGTGTGACTGCATCCTCTGCGTAGCATAGAACGCACTCTACTAGTAGAGCCACTTGTACTGTCCTATTTCGTCACGTGTGTAAAACACATGCACAGTGAAGCTCGAGATTGTCTCGACTTTTGTGTAGGAGCAAAGCAGAGTTGGTTTTGGTACCTTGGCATACAACCTCTAGCTGTGTTTAGTCCGTGAATTTTAGGAATTTAGCTACTGTAGTATTTTTCGTTTTTATTTGGCAATTAGTGTTTAATCATGGACTAATTAGGCTCAAAACGTTCGTCTCGCAATTTTCAACCAAACTGTGCAATTAGTTTTTTTTTCATCTATATTTAATGTTCCATACACGTATCGCAAAATTCGATGTGAAGGTTACTATAGCACTTTTTACGAAACTTTTTTTTGAACTAAACAAGCACTGCTTTGCTCCTGCACAGCCTCGAGCGCATGTCTCCCCACGTGTGGAAACCACGTGAACGGTGAGTGGCACAGATCCAGCGCCGACGCCCTGCAGGCTGCAGGGACACAGCGGCGCGTACGTACGTGGGCGCGGCGCGGCGACCTGTCCAGCGGAGTGTCGAGCGTTCGTTGCGACGTTTCCAGCCACCTTCGCTTCAAGGCTCAGACGGGTCAGGACACACGTCCGTACGCTAGCTGTCGTCGGGTGCAGCTACCACCATGCGCTGCCTTCACCTGTATATAAAGGCTCCAGTTCGAGTGGACTAGGCCGCATCCAACCATCACAGTCTCTGGCGTCTCTCACATCTCGAGCTCGAATTCATCTACCAGCTAGGTCGAGCTCCAGTCTTGCTGCCTCTGCGGCCGAGAGAGAGAAAGAGATGGAAGCGTACGCGGCAATGCCGTCGCCACAGACGAAAGCCATGGGCGTGGTGGACAGGCTCAGCTACGAGATATTCTCCCTGCTCGAGAGCAAGTTCCTCTTCGGCGGCGGCGGCGGCGCCGGGTGCCTGTCCTCCTCCGGGCCCGGCACGCCGGCCAGAGCGTTTCTTGACGGTGGGCGCGTGCGGGTGCTGTCCATCGACGGCTGCGGCGGCGCGGGCGCCGAGGACGCGCTCCTGGCGGCCGCGGCGCTCGCGAGGCTCGAGGCCGGGCTGCGGGAGCAGGCCGGGGACCCCGACGCGCGCGTCGCCGACTTCTTCGACGTGGTTGCGGGCGCCGGCGCGGGGGCCGTGCTGGCCGCGATGCTGTTCCTGAGGGGCGCCGACGGGCGGCCGCGGTACACGGCGCAGGAGGCGCTCGCGTTCGTCGCCAGCAGCGTCGGGAGGAAGGAGAAGAACTGGGGCGGCCGGCGCGGGCGGTGGGCGAAGCTCTTCCGCGGCTGTCGGCGGGGCGGGGACCGCATGCTCCGCCGCGTGTTCGGCGACGCCACGCTCAGGGACACCGTGGCGCCGCTCCTCGTGCCTTGCTACGACCTCGCCACGGGCGCGCCCTTCGTGTTCTCGCGCGCCGACGCCGTCGAGAGCGACAGCCTCGACTTCCGCCTCCGCGACGTCTGCGCCGCGACCGGCGCCGACCGTGGCGCGCTCGCCGACGTGAGGTCCGTCGACGGCCTCACGGCCATCGCCGCGGCGTGCGCGGGCGTGGCGGCCATGGGCAACCCGGCAGCCGCCGCCGTTACGCACGTGCTGCACAACAAGCTGGAGTTCCCGCTCGCCACCAGCGTCGAGGACATCCTCGTCTTCTCCATCGGCACCGGCTCGTCCACCACCGTCTCTAGCGGGCCGAAGCCGAACACGCCAGTGCCGCCCACACGCGCACCGTCACCGCGGGAGCTGGCACGCGTCACCGACGAGGGTGTGGCGGACATGGTGGACGAATCAGTGGCCATGGCGTTCGGGGACGCGTGTGGAAGCAACTATGTCCGTATCCAGGCCGGCAGAAAATCGGCGCCTCTCCGCGCGGAGACGGCGGTCGCTACCGCAGAGGCGATGCTGGCGCAGCGGAACGTGGAATCGGTGCTATTCCGCGGGCGGAGGCTGTCGGAGCGGACGAACGCCGAGAAAGTGGACACGCTGGTGACGGAGCTGGTCAAGGAGCAGGAGCGGCGGAGGAGCAGCCCGTTCCCTAACGTGGCCATCAAGCAGGTTGCTACGCCGCGGCTGTCGTCGGCGACCACCGCATCATCGGGCACCACGACGGCGCGGACAACGTCGTCGATGCCCTCGCCGGCGTCGTGGGATTCTCGCCGATAGTCGAGTTAATTTAGGCCGTGACAAGATGAGATCATCCAGTGTACATGCATGCAACTGAGTTTGGAACTGAATTTTATCACGACAATTCACTGAGCACAACAGTTCTAGGAGTACTTCACATCTGCTGCTCATCAGACGCCTGTTTACGCTAATTGCTAGCCACCTCAAAATTAGCTATAGTACATCTAAACGACAGGGTTAATAGATGGACTAATTTTTTAGTTAGATCATCAATCAGTAGTTGTTAACCAACAAGCTAGCCGATCGTAGCCAATTTGAATTAACTTTTAGCTCCAACTAGTAACTAGCCATATTGGTTATTTGCATTGCTCGGCCTCTCTTTGCTTACTGGGAGGCCTAGAAATTGAATTGCTGACCATTCTGGTTCTGGAGATAAGTTAGCTATCGTTGAAGCCAAAGACTAACTATAGCAGGAATAATAGCATCGTTCAGGTAATAAGAAGAGAATTTATTGTGGAACTCACCGTCAATCCACCTTACTAGTGTTGCTCTGCCTCTTGATATGTTGTGTTATTCTTTCGGCGTTACATATATAGTTGTGACGCACAATGGATTGATAGTGTTTCTTGTGAAATGATGCCAGTTTTTTTTATTAAAAAAATGTTTGAATTTGATCCAATATTTCTAAAATTTCATGTTTGCGGGGCGACCCGCCATCAACGGGCAGCTGCTGGTCAGCCTCGGCATCACCCAAGTCCGAAGGTCAGGTGGTTGGGCCACGGCGGCAGCCAGCAGCAGTCCTCAGAACTGTACAACTGTACAAGAAAGAAAAGACAGCATGGGAAGGAAGAAATAACATTTCCCCTACATTCTCTCTTCTCAAACTCAGAAAAATAATATTATAATCACATCGGTCTCTAGCAAACAACAATAGTTTAACAATACCTAACAAATTATGGCATTTGGTGTGAAATAACGATGTCACGTTTATTCGATCCATAGCAAAATTTCTGCCCTGTCGGAATTTAAAGTATATACTTGTAAGAAAGTACCAGTCACTATAGGAAAACGCCTCTTTGCCGACTGCTAGCCCCGGTCGGCAAAGGCATAAACCCAGTCGGCAAAGGCTTTGCCGACCGCAAAGCTCACACGTGGCGATCGGCAAAAAGCAATCGGCAAAGCTTTGGGTCGGCAAAGGCGGATTTGCCGACCGCCCCGTGGCACACAAATCGGCAAAGCCTTTGCCAACTCGCCACGCCGGCGATCGGCATAGTTAATGCGTCATGCCGTCGATACTGACGGCGTGCTTTGCCGATCATGGTTCTCGGCGATTAAGAAAGAAATTTTTTTTTCAAAATTGTTTGCCGATCGCCGCCAAATTTCGGCAATCGGCAAAGAAAGAAAATATTTTTTTTTGAAATGTTCTTTTGCCGATTCGCTTTGAGTTGCAATCGGCAAAGGTTTGACCTCTTTGCCGACCGCCTCCCATTGCGATCGGCAAAGACTCATCTCGGGGTTTTTTTGCCCAAAGATCAACAAGAAGTCTGGAATTTTTTTTTTTTTTGTTTTCTGTTTTCTCGCATCAAAACCCCGCAAAATCACAAATTATAATCCAATTTCACCGGAAGCACCTAGTAGCACCATTTATTTCACAATTTCATCACATTTGTCGCCAACATCACCACATATATCACAATAACGCACAACATCACATATATCTCACATATATGTCACAATAACAACCACACAAGTGCATTACAACCATCACATGAAGTCCAACACGTCGAACACCACAAGTCGGCGTCCATCACACGTAAGTTCAACATAACAAGTCTAGGTCCATAACGAAGAAAAGAAATACATGACAACAACTTCGGACGATACGGTGGATACATGATAACAGAATCGACAAATACCTAGCTCGTCGCGCCGTCCCCGGTCTCGTCGTCCGCTCCGCAGGAGGTCGAGGGCGCTGTGGGCCATGTAGTAGCGGCCGTCTTTGCTTCCTGGTCCCAACCTCTCGCAGGAGGTCACGTGTCCGGGGCTCGTGATGGGGTCGAACGTCTCCCCCAGTGGTATTTGGCGAGCAGCGGCGGTGTACTCGGTGGCCTTCTCGTAGGCGGTGGGGTTGGTGGTGATCGGCCGGGCCCGTCCTCCGGGTTGTAGACGTTGTTCGGATCCGTCGCCTTGCCCCTTGTGAGAGGAGGTGCGCGGTGTACTCGTTGATTTTCGCCCTTGCAAATGCGTCTGCGTCGCATTGAAAACACAAACATGGTTACAAGTATTGACAATTGAGCGCAAGGATTAAGACATGAACGGACGCGATACCTATCTTGTCGCGAATCGGGGAGGGGCTGATTCCCTTGGTGGTGTGACACCCCTCGCATGCTGCAGCAAGGCGTGCGCTTCGACGGTCGGTGGCGCCTCGCAGACGCTTCATCATCAGGCGCCACATCGCGCACAATCTCAAATCCGGCATTCCTCGTGGTTGTTGCGCACCACGACGGACACACGCATGACATCAAGTATTTGACATGCGAGAAGATTAGTGTAATGTTTCACTTTGAAGGAATCGAGCGAATGTTGTCATACTTAATTACACCTTTCAGATTGCGCTTGGGTGAGGTCGGCCTCCCTCGAGTTCATTCTCTGGCGGATTTGGGGCTTCTTGATGTTCTCTCCAAGCACGTTGGCGTGGAAGTCGCGGATGGCTGTGATAGCGCGCCTCATGGTACTGAGTCCTTGAGGCGATCTTTGCAGACCGCCTCGTGACTCGCGCCTTTGGGCCGCTTTACCCTCCTCGTGACGTGAAGAAGTCACGCACACGGACACATCATGTAGCATTTCTTTTTGCAAGAAGTCCGACGAATGCGTACTATTTAGCAATGCGGTGCGATGAAAGACTCACCCAAAACTCCCTCTTTATCTTTTTGTCGCGATGGTCTCGCCACCCTCCTCGGACGAGGTAGAAGTGGGACCACTTGGTGGGCACCTTCATCTCGCCGTTGACATTGACAAGGCGGTGGTAGTACTCCTTAATCGGGGAGGCCCGGATGCCATTGATATGGCGTGCTTGACCTGCTCCACTCACAATCTTCCAGGAACTGCACGAGTCCTTGGCAACTCCTTGGCACAAAGCTGGCGGAAGAAGAAGCTCAACTCTGCCAGGACGCGCCACACATGCTCTGGGAGGTATCCCCGGGTCATCGCAGGAAGGATCCGCTCAATCCATATGTGGAAGTCATGGCTCTTCATCCCTAAGACTTTTCATAGTCGCAAGTTCACACCCTTTCAGATTCGCCGCAGATACCCATCGGGAACTTTAACGTCTTGATCCACCGCAGAACTTCCTTCCTATCCGCCCTTTCGAGGATGTAATCGGCCGCCCCTTTTCCATTTCTGCCGGGGCTAGGGTCTTCATCACTAGGTTTGGTCTATCACAGATCATCTCTAGGTCCGATCTAGCCTTTGACGTTGTCCTTCGACTTTTTGCCAACGTCCATGAGTGTTGCCCAGTGCCTCGGCCACATTCTTTCCTGTGTGCATTACATCGATGTTGTGTGGAAGAAGAAGGTCCTTGAAGTAGGGGAGCCTAGTCAAGCCCGATATATGAGTCCACATGTGGTCCCGAGCATATCCCTTAAACCCACCTGTTTCCTCAGGTTCGAGAGCCTGTATGTCGGCAAGGACGGCGGCAGGGCTCTTAACCTGCGGAATGGGGCCGGTGACTTGAACGCCTTTCGTGAAGTGCTTTACATCTAGCCTGAATTCATGGTTCTCGGCAGGAATTGGCGATGCTTGTCGAAAAGAAGAAAACTTGCCGCCTTGGCCACCAGTGAACATCACATCGCCTTGCATGTCGGGCAAGGAACTTCCCGTGAACACACCACCCATTGAATAAGCCATACGCCAGAAGTCATGCATTGAAATCTGGTACCACACATGCATTCGAAGTTCCTCTTCAGAGTCTTGGTCAGACGTGAGTACCCCTCTTCCCAAGCAAGTTCCAATTCATCCCACACCGGCCGCATGAACACACCCATATTGTCGCCGGGTGTCCGGTATTATCAGCGTCAAGAGCACGTTCTTAGGTTCAAACATGACGCGGGGGAGATTGAGGGGATCACAAACACGGGCCAGCAAGTGTACGGGCCGCCATCATTCCAAACAGGTTGAACCCATCATTTGCCAAAGGCCACGGCGTACATTCCGAGCCTCCATAGCCTTGACAGGATTCATGTTATCGAAGTGCTTCCATGCATCACCGTCCGCCGGGTGTACCATCTTGTCAGGATGGTATCTTTTGCCATTCTTGTGCCACGTCATCTGTTTCGCGGACTCCTCCGTCATATACAGCCGTTGTAGCCTCGGTAGGAAAGGAAGGTGCCGTACGACCTTCTCGGGGACCTTAGACTATTTCATGCTGCCATCAGAGCCTTCTACCAACACGAACCTAGAGGCATCGCGACTTCCGGACGGTTTTTGCTTCCTCGAGGTCTCCCCCTGAGCAGGGACGCACCCTTCGGACAAGCATGGATCCCCTCATACGGCATCTTAAGTGCACGAAGGAGCTTCTGTGTAGCGTAGGTGTTCGTCGGCAGGACATGATCTGCCGGAAGCAGTCCCCCAACAATGCTCAACACGAGATCGAAGCCGTCTCGACTAATGCCCAGCTGCGACTTCAACCCTATCAGGCGTGAGACGGCATCCAGTTGCGTAAGCTTTGTCTTCTCGTGAAGGGGCTTCTGTGCCGACTCCATCATGTCGTAGAAGGCCTTCGCGGTTTGCTCCGGATCTTCCTCCACATCCATTCCTTCGCCAAACCGTGCTTCGTGGAAGTCTGCCATCATGTCTGCCATCCCGGCATCGCCATCATACTCCTCGAGGACGGGTCGCACCACCTCGTCCCTAATAGGATGGTATTCACCATGGTGGCGCTTAACGGTATAGTTCGAACGAACCCGTGCTTGAACAGATCTCTCAACACCGAGCCTTTACTTTCTTCTTCTTGTTGTTCACTTTTCGGCCGCAGGGGACAC